GCCGTCTTGGGGCCCTTTTGGGGCCGTCTTGGGGCCCTCTGGTTGAACTCTTGGGTTGTTTGGGGGGCTTTCCTGGGAGCTGGGGCCGTCTTGGACGCTGCGCACACGAAAACAGCGAGTCTGCTAGAAATGTGTTCTTTCTCGGAAGGATGGGGCGATGTGTCTCGGGCCTCTGGGGTCGTCCGGAAGCCACGTTGGCCCGTCTGAGACTGATTTGGAACCTACGGGGGGGCAGGGGAGGATCCGGTGTGGTGCGGCCCAGGCCCCCCGGGGCCGGGTTTGTGGTGTATGACAAAGATTTAGTAGATCGATGCATAAATATGTGTGTATATATATACACACGATGTGGAAATAGAGAGAGAGAGAGAAGGAGATAGGTAAACGTTCAAACATATACTTTCGTTATGCACGTCTGGATGTGCACCGCTCCCCTGGGTGCCCCGTGGCACGACTCCTAGCGGTCCGAGGCGGCGGCTGCAGGCCACATGTTCTGGCCCTGGGACCTGCGCCCTGCCCTTCGCCGCCGCGGCCAGCGACGCCAGCGAGGCGTCCTCCACGCCGGCGCCGCCGGGCCAGGCGGCGGCCAGCGCCTCGCCCGCCTCCTTGGCCTCGCCGCCGCCGGCGGTCAGGATGAGGGCCTTCGGAGCGCCTGGCGGCGCCGCGCCGCCCGCCGCCGCCGCAGCCTTGGGCGGCACGGCCGCCGCGGCGCAGCACGCCACGACGCCGCAGAGCTCCGCCGCCGCGGCGGAGACGTCCTCCACGCCGGCGTCGAGGTAGACGCGCTTTCTGTCCTGTTCGGTGGCAGCTCACGGGAGCCTACCATCCCATCGTGTCGGCTCTTGCGAATCGACGCCAGTCGACGCTGAATAGACGCTGATCGAGGCTAAATCGACGCTTTTCGACGCCAGCCGACGCTAAATGTACGCTAAATTATCGATTACCAGACGCTAATCGCCGCTAGTGCACTCTAAAGACCAAATTGCGAGGGCACACCAGGCCCCCATGATTCGAAACCGAATGTCCTCGATCGGCTTCAGGCCGGCCCGGTCGAGCGCCTTCGGGACGCTCTCGGCAGCCTGCCTGATCTGATCCTTCATCGAAGCTGCGCTGTTGTTGCACTTCGAGCTCGCGACCGTCAAGCACGCGTATCTCAGGTCCTTGTCGGCCAGGGCGTGGGAGTCGAACTCCAGGTTCATGTTCCGGGCAAGCTTGCGCCCGGCCGCGCAGGGTCCGTCTGGGCCGCAGTCCACAATCAGCAACGACAAGGATTGTTTGGGCAGCTTTCGCACTACTTCGATCGACTTGCGGTCGGACAGGCTGTGGACGCCGGCCACGCACAGATCCTCCTTCTTCAGGAGCTCGACCACGGCCTCGCAGACGTCCTTGGCGGCTCCGTCTGCCTCCGCGTCATGGCCGAAGAAGACTGTGACCTGGAACTTTGGCGGGGCCACAGGTGCCTGAACAGCTGTCGCCGTCGGCCCAACGGGGTAGCCGCCACCGCCAGAGGCGACCTCCTGCAAGACTTCTGCCACTGTCCTCTTCAGAGCCGCCCAGAGACCGCCGTTTTTCCACTTCTGGAAGTCGTCGGCGATATCCTGGCTGTCGTCTCCGATGCCACGAGGGTAAAAGCGCAGGCCCCCCAACCTCTCGAGGAACTGGTCACACTCCATGCCCATGTTGTTGAACCTCGAATAATTCATGTCGCCAAGGCCCATGACCGTGAAGCGCTGGCCCTTGAGCGCCCCGTCGTTCCGAGGGTCCATCGCCCATTTGTGGAACTGCGCAGCGTTGTCCTGGGAGCCCCCACCACAGAAACACACTCAAACACGATTACCACACACAAGCACACTGACACGTTGTCCTTCAACGCGCCAAATAATCAAATCGACGGGCAGTCACAGTGGCAGGCTGCGGTCAAAGTCATTATCTTCCCTGTAAAGCATCGGGGCTGAACAACTTCCAGAAGCGCACATTGGCGACCCGGGGTCAGAGAAGCGCGTGGCGCAGGGCAGAGCGCAAAGGCTGGAAAGCGGGAGGGGAGGAGAAAGACGATGAGCGCGAGCAGACAGCGCTTGCTAGGTGTTTTGCCACACGCGCGCAATCTTCCGACCGTTTATTGCGTTGCGCTGCAGAGAATGACACCCTTGCGGCAGAAGACCCTGAACAGCTTCACACGGTCACGTTGGGGGCTACGATGGGGGATCACGAGGGTGGGCCGCGATGAGCGGATCATAATAAGAATAAGCGGATGGGTAAGGATAGGGACAGGACTACTTGATACTGTGTCTACTCCACTGCTAGTGTGTACGCTTACTACGCATACTACACAAACTTGCAAGAACTAATACACATGCCAGAACGAGAACTAGTGTACAAGCCGTACAAACGAATGCACACAAAATACCACGTCCAATCGCACGGACAATACGGACACGAATACCCGCAAATTGATGAAACTACTCGTACGCATACGCATGCGAACACGAATGCGAATGCGGGCACGAAGATTAGAACTCACATTAGCACGGCCAAGATCCGCCACCGTGCCCTTTGACACGGAGAAGGCGTACCCTCAGGTCCTTTGCCTAACCCTCTGGGGATGAGGAGGAGGAGGAGGAGAAATGCCCCAGGAGGCCCCAGGAGGGCTTTAGAAGAGACCTGGGACCCAGATTGCCAAATCTGCTGGGGCTTCTCGCGTCTTGCCGCGCGAACGTTTCGGAGCCCATGAGGGCCCCAAGACGGCACAGGAGGGCCCCGAAGCGCCGAAAGACCGTTCCAAGACGCCCAAGATGGCCTCAAGACAGGCCAAGATGCCTCCAAGACGCCCTTAGAGGCCTCCAAGAGGCCTCCCCAGCGGGCCCCTGGAGGCAGAAACCCTTGATCTTTCTGAGGTTTTGAAAGATTTGTGCGTGCTCGCTGTTTCTGCTTCCCGACGCTCCAAGACGGCCCAAGGGGCCCCCAAAACCACCGCAAGAAAGCCCACAAGGCCTCCAAGAGGGCCTCAAGACGGCCTAAGAGCGCCCCAAGCCGACCCAAGAGGCGCCCAGGACAGCCCAAGAGGGCCCCAAGACGGCCTAAAAAGAGGCCCAAGAGAGGGGGCACGAATCGAACATCCGAGCCTTCCGCCCCAGGAGGCCCCAAGAGGCGCCGAAGAGGTCTCAAGAGGCCCCAAAGAGGCCAACAGAGGCTTCAAGAGGTCCCGAAATGGCTCCCAAGAAGCCTCAGAACTGTCTCCAAGAGGCCGCCGAGAGGCCGCCCACGAGATCCCAACACACATCCAATAGGCGTCATACCCACAACCCAGGCAAGGTGGCAGGATGGGCCGAAAGCCGTTCGAATCCGTATTCCCACTGGAACTAATACGAATATTCATAACTTGGGACCGTGCATGCACTGAGTGGGCGTGTTAGAATACTTGCATGTTGGCTTGAAGGTGTTGTTGTGCTCTCTCGGGCCACCCCACCCCTGCATCGCGTGCGTGCTTCTGAGATCGCCTCCCCCAGACTTGCTCCACGTCGCTCCTGTCAGCGTCCCAATGGCCAAGGTGGCCTCCAAGAAGGCTTACAAGACAGTCAAGACGCCACGAAACTGGCTCAAGATGGCAGGCACAAGATGGCTCAAGAGGCCCTCAAAACAGCCTCAAGACGGCCCAGGAGGCCTCCAAGACGGCTCCAAGAAGAGGCCCTCCAGGAGAGACCGATGAGGCCCACACCATTGATTTTCCAAAGGTGTTTCCGACCGCCCAAGATGGCCCAAGGGGCCTCCAAGATCGCTCCAAGACAGCCCATGAGGCCTCCAAGAGGGGCCCGAGTCTGCCCAAGAGTACCTCAAGATCGCTCAAGAGGCTCCCAGGAGGGCTCCAAGACGGCCCTGAAGCGCTCCAAGAGGTCACCAAGACGGACTCCGACGACGTCAGACTGGCCAAGAGCCCGCCTAAGACTGCCCAAGGGGCCCAACAGGCCCCAAGATGCCCCAGGAGGCCCCCAAGAGGCCCTCGCACCGAAACAAGCTAAAGCGCGAACGCAGCTCAAAACCAGGCAGGAGCAAAGGCAGAAGGCAGTCAGGCCAAACGCGCTATCGCTTGGCCGGCCAGGGTGAGGCTTCACCGCCTAATGGCGCTATGTTCCCACACCTCCCCCAAACACAAACCCCGCCCACCGCACGACCCTCCTCCTCCTCTTCCTCCTCTTCCTCCTCCTCGTCCTCCTCCTCCTCCTCCTCCTCTTCCTCCTCCTCCCTATCACGCGGACGAACACGAGGTCGAGATCGCGACCCTCCCCAGTTCAGACCGCTCGCCGAACTGCCGCGGGGCGTGAACTCGACCTCCGCTCTACCGCGCGGACGAAGACGAGGTCGAGCTCACGACCCGTCCTGGTTCTCTCTCTCTCTCTCTCTTTCTCTCTCTCTCTCTCTCCTCCCTCGCTCCCTCGCCCCCCCCTCCCTCCCTTTCTCCCTCTCCCCCCCTCTCCTTTCAGCTTTTTTTTTCTCTGAGACCACTCGTAAGAATTGCGCTGTTCTTGCACTCGGCCTCCGTCCTGCTGCGCTGCTGCACAGACACGGTGGCGGACTTTGCCACAGGCAGCTGGAGTTAGGTCGGGCATGTCCCCCTGCAGGCGGATCTAGGGCGAAAAGTCCAGCATACCCAAAAACATGCTCAAACATATACCTCCTGTAGAGGGACAGGCCCGACTTAACGCTGGATCACACGAACACGAGCATCCGAATACTGGCACGACAGCTGCGAAGCGGGAGGCATCGGTAGACAAACGGGAGGCGGCGGGAGACGACGGGAGGCAACGGGAGACAACGTCGCGTGACAGCGTCGCCCGCCTGCGTCTGGACCCGGCGGTGCACCTGCCCGCTTCGCAGAAAATGATTATCGACCAGACCACCCCAGCTCAACCCGAAGACCCGAATTTGACCGGAATTTGACCCGAATTTCGGGTTGGGGGGGTACGGGTTCCGTGTGTTTTTTCCATGTTCCCCGATCCCCCTCCCCCACTGGAAATGGAGGGCAAACGGAGGCCTTCGGGTTGGGTTGGGGTGGTTTTGGTGGGTGGTGGGAAAAGGCAGATGTACGGTGATGTCATTGGACAAGGAAAGCTTCGATAAGGAATCCAGGGTCTGCAAGCCAGTGGAAAGCCATTCGTGGATTGGCCATGGATATCACCGCCGCCCGCTTCAGATGCGGAACCCTCCAGGGTCTGAAGCCCCTGGGCACATTCCTTAACCAACGCCCCCACCGTAACCCTTGCAGGCGAGCTGTTCAGGGGAGTGGGGCAAGGGACAATTTAAGCTCTGCCATCCGCGGGAGCGGACCCAAGCCGCAAAATTAGGACAGCGGAGGCCGTGCCTCAGGGCAGCACTGGGAGGCCAGCGCCGCCCCCTATAAAAGCGCACGCGGACTGTGCGCGCGAGCCGCTCCGCCACTTCAGCTAGCGCAGGCCCGGCGCTGGGCGCCGAACCTGCCCTATACATGGTGGTGGCCTCGGCTCGAGAAGACGGGCAGCCACAGACACAAATTGTCTGTTTCCCAGCCGGCTGGTCCAACTCAGCGGTCACAGACACACGTACGCAAACAGACACACACGCACACACGCACACACACACACACACGAACACTTTTCTCTCCGAAGCGCCGGTGAAGGCAATCACCAAGGTTAAACACAAAGGGGCCACGTCGAAAACGTATTGGCCACCTGGTGTGGCAACGTGATCAACACCAAAATCTCATGCAAGAGCCAAACCGTAAGCGGGACCACCTCGCGGTAAAAGGTCACATGCGCATAGGCGAAAGTCGACGGCCAGCCGGAGAGGAAGTGAGCGGGGGCTGGCCTTCTCCAGTGCGGGCGCGGCCACAAGAAACCCTCGCAAGAAACCGAACCCTGAAAACCCGCGCGCGCGAGATGCACCTGAGGGGAAACCCGGAGCACCCTGAACGCAGCCGCTCCTTCCCCAGGTGCGGGAGGCCACCGCGCGGCGCGCGGAGCGAAGAGACCCAGGACACCCTGACGAAAAGCAGATCGGTTCTGCATGCGCGCCCCCACTGTAGGTTCAGAGGTCCCCCAGCCTCCCGATAAAAAGTCTTCTGCGGGCAGCCGGGGGGCACGGACAACAGCCTCTCGGGAGGCCGGGAGGGCTGCCGAGAGAGGGCCCGGCGCCCTCCGAGAGGGCCCGCTCCTGCTCGCTGCTCCCCCTCGCCCCGCCGCCGAGGAAGGGACATGGGCGCGGGAGGAGCTCTGAGAAAGCGCTCAGGCAGGCAGCGCCGAAAGGCGGGGGGGGGGGGGCGCCGAGGGCACCCGACTTCACACGCCGCGTCGCGCGAGGCGCGACGGCCTTCGGTGTTCTCGGACGGTCACCCACGAGAAAGGCAACTCTCTGGCTCAGACTGTTGAGCAGGGGCCGACCGTCCAGGCATTCCTGTAGTCATACCACGAAATCTTCGTAGAACCCACACATGTTTTAAGAACAAAAGCAATGTTCTGACAACATCGACCCGACGTGTTCGAACAGGACAGCCCCAGCCAGAAATGTTCTCAGACCATTTCGCGCAAACCACAAAAAAGGTTCTTGGAACATTGTTCGGTAGGCCTAAATGCACGCCAAGACGCTTCGCCACTTCCTGAAACTGAACGATGCCCAAGAACGAGGTGGGCCGGAGGAATCTGGCCCTCGGCTGCCCCGATACGCAACACGCAGCACGTAGCGTGCTGGCGCGGGGATCGCAAACGCAGGCCGAAAACGTGGGTCTGGCGCGATGCGCTCGCCAAAACGTGGGCCAACGCGTGGTGCGCCAACGCGCAACGTGTTAACACGGACGTTCTCGTCACGGCACGCGTTGCGTTCCAACACGGGCGTACCAGGGCAGCAGAGAGATGGCCTTCAAAGACGGCGCGGCCCTTCCTGGAAGCTCCCAGGAATGCTCCCTGGAAGGCCAGAGGCTTACAAGAGGTCGTCTTGCCTCCTCGTCGCGGGCGGGACGGCCCCCAAAGAGGCCCCCCTGGGAAGCCTCTAAGAAGCCCCCAAAAGGCAACGCGATGCTCATGCAACGTGACAGCCGCGACACTTTTTTCGTCGGCGGCGAGGCGGCGAACTCCGCTCCAACGTGAAGCTAGATAGGGGCACCAACTAGCGAATTGGCCGGCGGGCAAAGAGAGGGGGGGGGGGACGGCCGAGACAAAGAAGGGGCGTGACAGCCGCGACACGCAATGTACAGCAGCGCGGTGGGAATCCACGAGCACACGGTCGCCACGACTGATCCACCACGACGACTCACCCAGGAGATCGTGTCCAGATGGGCTGGTGGATGTGCGAAACGTCACAGATTGCAACGTTGCGTTCAGATCCTGTACCGAACTACTAGGGCGTGGCCGGTGAAGCGCCGCAGGCACCCTCGATGATAATACAGTCGAGGCATTGACCTAAGGAACCCTAAATAAGGAACGAGGCCCCTTTTTCCCATAAGTTAAACTTCGATTTCCGATCGAAAACCTAAGGAAAATCTAAGGCAACCTGCGAAACACTTAAGGAACACGGAGCCCCTCCCCAACGTAGAGGGTTCCTTCTTCAGGGCCCCGACTGTAACTGCAATAGGGCCGACGAGGTCAGCCAGCAGCGTCAACAGAGTCGCGCGCAGCAGGCGAAAGGGTAGCACGCGTGTGCAAGAAGACTTGACAACACAGCCCGCGCGCCGGTCCAAACTCGACTCAAAGATAGCCACCAATTAGGCGGCAAGGCCTGGTCATCCAGTTACAGTGACAAAAACAGGAAAAAAAACACGCTTGCGCACGAAGAGCGAGCTGTAGAGGTGCGCGACTGCGATGCAATTGTGACCAACTGCATCAGCACCAGCCACAGAACAACTGCAGCCTCGACCGTGGCCAATTAGCGGCAACATGCCGACTCTGCCAGGGTGGTCCTGCGAGAGGCACGCCGGACTACCTCAATCACTAGAAACAACAAAAAGGCTATAACCATAAACTTTTGGCGCTCCGCGCGGATTTCTCGGATCTGCGCTGGACCCCGCGCCCTGGCGCGCGGAGCGCGCCAGGTGCGTCGCCGGAGGCGCCGCTGGGGGGGGCCCAGCGCGGACCCAAGGAATCCGCGAGGAGCACCAACAATTCATGTTTTTCTCTTCTCCCATGCCGCGTATGAGCCGCACTGGGGCGTGCCGTCCGCTTGCCGTCGCTCGGACGTCCATTTCCCGTGCATCGTTCGGTTTCGTGCGTTTTTTTATGCTCTATGGTCCAGGATGGTCCTCGATGGTTCTCGCCGAGCAAAAAATGCACACGCCCGAGCGATGCCGAGTCCGTGGCCGTGGGCCACGCCAGTGCGGCATGACGTCCAGGCCGCGGGCGAAGGAGGCGCACGCTGCCCCTCCACGTCCCAGGGCGCCGGCGTGCGAGACGGCGGCCGCAGCGGCGGCGAGGGGAGCCACGGCACGACCTCGAAGCGCCATGCAGCAGACGTGGCACCCGGCAACCGCCGGAGCGCGCATCTTCATCTTCGGCGACAATGGGCAGCAGATTAGGAGGCAACTACTGGGAGGGTTTCAGCGGAGAGATCAAGGGAGGAGGAAGCCGCATTTGGGGAGCTGCTACGCCGGAGTGGTCCTCGGACTAAGCGGGATGAAGCCGGATTGAGCGGGATTGAGCCGGATCAAACGGGACTAAACCGGATTTCGGACCAGGGCAAAATCAGAATTTGACCACCCAGGAGATGCATCCGAAATTATAGGGGGGAGGGGGCCGAATCCAAGCGAAGGCTGGCGCGTTGGAAAAAAGGCACAAGTCGTGTTCACCGTGGCCCGAGCATGCGCATCAGCACGGGGTCTTTCTGAAGCTCGATGACAAATAAACATGTGCACATGGATGTGCGTGTACTTGTGTGCGGTCTTCCGCCGGGTTGCCCACGCGGCACGTTCAAGCATCTGCGACAAGGTGCATGAACGTCTGTGTCTGCATCTGTGTATGTGCGCCTGTGTGCCTGCTCCCTCCTGGGATGTTACTTGCGACTGGCTGGTTGAATGTCCGAGAAGCCCACTGACACGAGAAGTGCGTTCCCCCCCCCCCCAACCGAGGACACTGCTATCACAACCGCGTCCGCAGTGAGGTACGCGCGCAGTGTGAGCAGGCAGTGGGAGGTGGGGGGGCGAGGGTGGGAAGGAAGACGAGGAAGCAGGGGCAACAATGGAGAAGTGCCACTCGGTTCAAACAGCGGCCCTCCCTCCCCCAACGAAGCGTCCGTGGGCTCGCCCTCGCCGTAGGTGGAAACCACCAGCACGGCGATCTTCACGGCGGCGAAGCTCTCTGGCGTGAACCCGATCATGTCCACAACCTCGGCCGAATGGCCGCTCGGCCACCCCGAGGGCCAGGGGGCCAGGAACAGACGAGCAGGCCACCCCAAGACAGCAGACGGCCCAGCTCGATCTATTGCTGACCCCAGGCCTGCACCCTCCGCACCTTCCGCGCGGCAGTCGCCGCGGCGCGGGCGCGGCGGGGCCACGCCGCGGCGGGCACCAGCTGCGCGGAGGGTGCGGCAAGGTGGAGGTCGAGGGAGGAGACGACGCCGAGTGCCCCTCCGCGTGGCAAAGGTCCGCGTGGCCACTCCTTGCCCCCCCCCCCCGCCCCCCTCGCCCCTCCACCTCCCGGGCGGCTCAAACCGCCCACGGGCCTCGGCATCTATGCCCTGCTGCACGGCCTCGTCCCGCAGCTCCTCGGAGAAGGACTCGGCGGTGCCAGACTGCGACCCGAAGAAGATCTTGACCTGCGCCGCCCCCGCCATCGGGGCGGGCGCCCAGCCGCGCTCGGGGCCGGATGTCGAGCCGCAGTGGCTGCGGAGGCGGCACCTGCGCCTCTGGACGAGCACTGCGGCGCCAGGCGGTTGGCAGCAGGCGCTGGCTGTTCCGGCGGCGCCGAGGCCAGCAGACGTCCTTTGAGGTCGGTGGCCGAAAAAGCGCCTGGTCTGTGCTTGGTCAAAGTGCCTGGGAGGCGGGGCGGGAGGGAGGGGTGCGAGCGGGGCAAGGAAGGGGAGGCCAGGCAGCAGGGAGGCAGGGCAGGACGGAGTTCAAAAGCAGGCGGAAGGAATGGCGGGAGAGGAGGGTGGCACGAGAGGAGGAGGCAATGCAGGAGAGAGGCAGGGCAGGAGGCATGGGAGGCCAGCAGGCGGCTTTGCTGTCCTGGGTTTCGCCATTTGGCCAAACAAAAGGGTGGGGGAGGGGGGGGGTCTGGGTCTGGACCCGTGCTTGGTCGATCTGTTTCTACCAGTCGCGCAAGCAGACTGGGGGAAGGGATCCTGACCAGTCGCCAAAAGCGGCCGCCACAAGCAGCCAGGATCTGGTCTACGAGGCGAGGGCAGGGGGGGGGGTCGTTAGGTCGGGCCTGTCCCCCTGCAGGCGGATTTTGGAGGAAAAATGAAAAGTATCCAAAATAATACTCAAACATAATCAAATATTGCAAAACATCGTCCCCAGACTATTCCTTGACTATGTTTGAAGATTCCTCCCGCAGAGGGACACGCCCGACTTAAGGGTGGCAGAGGCCCGCGCCTCCGCGAAACAATACATGAGAAACAGCCTCCTGCGGTCAGGAACTCTTGCTCGGCGTGCCGCGGCGACGGCCCCTGCGAGCGGATGGCACGTCGCTCCGCCCCGCGGGACGGAGGGCTCGGAAACCTTGGGACGCTGACGCCCGGGAATGGGGACGTGGGTAGCGTGTCGCGCCGAAGCGTGGTGGGCCAGAACCGGCGGCGCTTCACTGAAAGCCATCGAATTCAGGCAGACGGGAGGGCAGGCGTCATCATCATCATCATCATCTTCTTCATCATCATCATCATCATCAACATCATCAGCAGCAGCAGCATCGTCAGCATCATCATCCTCATCATCATCAGCAGCATCATCACAATCACCATCACCATCACCATCACCATCACCATCACCATCATCATCATCATCAGCACCTCCATCATCACCATCATCATCATCATCATCATCATCATCATCTCATCATCACCATCATCATCACCATCGAACACATCAGCATCAGCATCGTCATTGTCATCAGCATCGCCAGCATCATCCTCATCATCATCACCACCATCGTCAGCACTATCATCATCAGCATCAACATCATCAGCAGCAGCATAATTATCATCAGCATCATCATCATCATCATCATCATCATCGTCATCATCATCATCAACAGCAGCATCACCCTCCTTACCATCATCAACAGCAGCATAGTCACGATCAGCATTAGCAGCAGTATCAGCATCAGCAGCATCAGTAGTACCTTATCATCACCATCGCAATCATTATCATCATCAGCCTCCTCGGAATTACCAACATCATCAGCATCAGCATCGTCGCTATCATCATCCTCGTCGTCATCAGCATCAAAATCATCACCATCATCAGCATCATCAGCATCATCATCGTCGTCGCCATCCTAAGCATCATCCTCAGCAGCATCAGCATCATTCGCATCATCTTCAATAGCAGCAGCATCAGCATAATCATCCTAATCATCATCATCATCACCATCAGCATCGTCATCATCACCACCCTATGTGTCAGCATCGTCATAATTCTCAGCAGCATCATCATCAACATCATCATGAACCTCATTCTTATCATCGTCCGTACCATCAAAATCGTCACCATCATCACCCGTATCATCAAGATCGTCGTCATCGTCACCAACAAAATCAGAAGCATCATCATTGTCGCCGTCCTCATCACCCTCATCATCAGCAGCATCGTCGCCACCATCATCATCATCATCATCATCATCATCATCATCATCATCACCATCATCACCACAATCGCCAGCACCATCAACATCAGCATCAGCATCAACGTCAGCATCAGCATCAGCATCCTTATCAGCATTATCATCATCATCATCATCACCATCACCATCATAACCATCATCATCATCATCATCATCATCATCATCATCATCATCATCATCATCATCATCATCAGTAGCATCATCATCACAGTGGGGGCATTGGATAAGGAACCCTTAGATAAGGAATCCATGGTCTGGAGGCCAGTTGAACTCAAATCGAGGCTTGGCCATGGACATCACCGCCGCCCTCATCAGATAAGGAATCCTGCAGGGTCTGCGGCATCCTGGGCGCATTCCTTAACCCACGCCCCCACCGTATCATCATCGGCATAGTCATCGGGAACAGAGGCAGAGAAAGAAGCAAGGGTGGTGGTGGTAGATGCTGCACGCCGCTACACATGCGGATAGCGGATGGGAGGCGGTTCTTCTTCGAAACAGTGGATCTCGCGGGACATCTCGCTGAGCTGTGTGACCATACATTGTCGCATTCCTGCTGGCTAATTCGCTAAAGGATGCAAGGCAGTTCCATTTCAAAGACAGGTTCTCGCCTGAACGGCAGGCCATTGCCCATAGGCTCGTATTTCAAGAGGGCGCTTACAGTAGAAGAAAGGTCCTTTGTTCTACTCCTCATACGTCCCTGCACGCCTTCCTTAGGAAGGCGTGCAGGGACGTATGAGGAGGGACCTTTTGGACAGGAAGGTGATGTGCAACAGCGTTTATACACCGTGGCTGTGACCTCGCCCTTCTCATCGACCTCCTTTGCCATGCTGAAACCGGAGATTGCGGGAAATGTATCCTGAAGTCGTGCACTGGGCCCTGCCATGGGTTTTGGCCCCGAGGCCCGGAGAAAGCCCTGGGAGCCAGAAAATAGCGAGACACCTCCAAGATCCGTTCCCCTCCAGGACCCCATGCCTGCACGGCTCCCCCTGTGGCTCTGGCTGTAGGCATCGGACTCTGTGGCTGGCCGCTGCCATCCGTCCCACCTCCTCCTCCTCCTCCTCCTCCTCCTCCTCCTCCTCCTCCTTCCTTTTCCTCCTCCCTCCTCCTCCCTCGTCCGCCTAAATCCTTCTCATCCTCTTTTCGAGGCCTTCAAAAAATGGTCCTCCCAGGGCCCTGCGGTGGCCCAAAGCTTTCCTCGGACCCCTTACTCCACCCAATGTACCCAAAACTGTGCAAGTAATCAAGTTTGAGGGTACTGCGTGGCCTGGTCTACTGTAAAAGATGTGAAACACACGCCACTGTGCCAACCCGAAAGATTGGCCATCCGTGCACGGCGATTGACCGTGATCCTACGAAGGCTGGGAAGAAAGTGTTGTCCCGCTTGTACAGGGGCCTCCTGCCAAAGGGCGGTGGTAATTTCCCCTGAGATGTAATTGCTCAGCGTGCCCAAATGTGATATGGTCTCAACAGGCTCCCGAACTCCTCCTTCTCCTTCTCCTCAGTTTCCTCCTCCTCCTCCTCCTCCTCCCTTTCCTCCTCCTCCTTCACCTCCTCCTCTTACTCCTGCTCCTGCTCCTCCTCCTCCTCCACCTCCTCCTCCTCTTCCTCCTCCTCCTCTTCCTCCTCCTCCTCCTCCTCCTCCCCTCCTCCCTCCTCCCTCCTCCCTCCTCCCTCCTCCCTCCTCCCTCCTCCCTCCCTCCTCCCTCCTCCTCCTCCTCCTCCTCCTCCTCCTCCTCCTCCTCCTCCTCCTCCTCCTCCTCCTCCTGCTCCTGCTCCTCCTCCTCCTGCTCCTGCTCCTCCTCCTCCTCCTCTCTCCTCCTCCTCCTCCTCCTCCTCCTCCTCCTCCTCCGTCCCCCCCCCCCTCCTCCCCCGTCCTCCTCCTCCTCCTCCCCTCCTCCTCCTCCTCCTCCTCCTCCTGCCCTCCTCTCCTTCCCCTCTGCCGCCCTCCCTCCTCCTCTTCCTCCTTCTCCCCCCCCCCTGCGCCACCGGAGGCCTTCTTTGCGGCGGGCTCCTCGTCCTGCGGCGGGAGCACGGGGGTCGCTCCCGGTCTGGAGGCCGCTCCGAGGGGGCGGCGGGGGGGGCCACGGGAGAGCCACCCCGAGCGTCGAAGCCAGCAGGCCGGAGCCCCAACCAGCCGCCGCGCAGGCCTCCGTGGACGAGCTTCGAGCATCGACGCCGCAAGGCCGGAGCCCCAGCCAGCCGCCGCGCAGGCCGCCGTGGGCGAGCTTCGAGGGCGCCGCGGTGGGGGGCGGCGGGCGGCGTGCTGCTTCTGCCCATGCAGGCAGTGCGGGTCGCAGCCCGAGGCATCTCCGGCAGAGGCGGCCCAGGTTGTGGGCGCTTTTTTGTTGTGCTGGGCTTCGCCATTTGGCCGAAGGGTGGGGGAGGGGGGGGGGCTCTGGGCCTGGACCCATGCTTGGTCGATCTGCTTCCTACCCGTCGCGCAGGCAGACTGGGCGTGGGGGTCCTGACCAGTCGCCGAAAGCCGCCAAGAGCAGCCAAGATCTGCTCCAGGGGGGGGGGGCGGGAGCCCGCGCCCGATCGGCGAAACCAGAAATACAAAAACAGCTACGCTCCCGAGCGGTTCTGGCCATACTTGGGCCTCCTTCAAGAGGCCCCCCCTGCAGGTCTCGGGAAGAGCGGCTTGGGCAGGCCTCGGGACGATCTGGGAAGACATGCCGCTGGGCTTGCACCTTCCGGCCCTGCGGTCCTTCCGCGCTGCCCTTCCTTTCTGCGAGGCGTGTTGGCGAGGAGTAAGACGAAACCAGGACGAGGGTAGATTCGGGGCCGCGTACGCGCACGAGACAGAGAGAGAGGGAGAGAAGAAGAGAGAGAGAGAGAGAGAGAAGAGAGAGAAGAGATAAAAACAGAAATAAGAGAGAGAAGAGAGAATCATAGAAAGAAGAGAGAAAAGAGAGAAGAGGGATAAGAGAGCGGAGGGAAAAGAGGGACGTGCGTATTGTGCGAGCTATGTTGTGCAACGTATGTGGTGCA